AAATATCACACAGAACATTTTCTACTACCTGACAGATATCACTAAAATTGGTTTCCTGTCACATCTGTGTCTGTGAAAGCACTTGATTCTGTATACAACAAAAATAATGGGTTGACCATGGGTTGATACATGTCAGTCATTTTAAAGCTTTTGGTTTGCTGACATGGAAGGCATGGTTTTGTAGTGAGCTGTTTTGCTAACATTAAGCAAGGTTAGCTCTTTAGCAAAACAGCTAAAGCATTGCTTACAGCATCTTTACATGGTTATGTTGTACAAAACTCTCACAAGATTGTGTATTTGCTGCTATTCCCCTTGTGATAAATAAGTACACTTTAGCATACTTTTGAAAAGAGTATTTATTATATAAATAATTTATAAAAATATACTCAAGTGCAAACTTGTAATGTGTAATGTTTTTGGCAATTTTAAATGTTTAAATTGATATTAAATGCAATTAGCTGAAATTCAGAGTGTAGTTTGACACACTTATGTAGGAATTAAGTGCATATTATATGTAATTTCATACCACAATACTTCTATTGACTCTGAAATATTCCTTTTCTTTTGAAACTTGTATGTCATTTTTTAGAAATATACTTGTAATTACACATTTGGAATAATGAAGTTGCAAATTAGTATGTTAAAAATATTTTAACTTCAAATGTAATATCAACTAACATAATACAGTAAAATTTTTAATTAAGTACTTTACATGTGCTTTAGTATGTTAGTCAACACATTAAAGGGGTCATATGATGCGATTTCAAGTTTTCCTTTCTCTTTGGAGTGTTACAAGCGGTTCGTGAATAGATAAGATCCCTAAAGTTGCAAAGACTAAAGTCTCAAATTCAAAGATAGTCTTTATAAAAGTTAAGACTGGTCCACGCCCTCCTAAAACGGCTCGTTTAAACACTCCCCCACATGTCTATGTCACGATGTAGGAAGATTTGCATAACACCGCCCAAATGTTCACGCAAAGAAAGAAGGCGTAACTTTATTGTTGCTGCCACCGCCACCGCTATGTTGTGAAGATGCTGTGTGTTTCGTTGCGAAAGCGAAAATACTTTGTTTGGCCTTCCAAAAGAGGACACGACTACAAATCAGTGGTTAAGTTGTATTTACAACAATGTTCCAGAACAGTTCAACCCAAATATTCAGATGTGTGCAGCACATTTTATGGAGGACTGTTTCCTGATGTTTCCTGACTGTTTCCAGACTACAATGCCGGCTGTTCTGACTCACAGTCTGTAAGTACGTTTTCATATATAAAAGAATTGGCCACTGATGATTCAAATGCGAGTTTTGAGCAGTGTAGAGTAGCGCTTGTTTGTCATTTCTCCGATCACAAATGCAGACATGGTTTTATGTTTACGCGGCGCGATGCAACGCAACGTGTAAAAAGACAGTATAAGTCATTATAATCCGTAATTATGTCCCCACTGGATGTAACAAATGCCTCGTTTATAATGGATTTTATTAATTTTGTCTCGTCGCGCCGGGATACGGCATAACAGTATGGTAAGGGGCGTAAGATTTCCGTCACACGCTTGAGGTATTCGGCCAATCACAACGCACTGGATAGCTGGCCAATCACAGCACACCTCGCTTTTCAGACCGATGAGCTTTGTAAAAATCGACACGTTTCAGAAAGGCGGGGCATAGAGGAGAAACAATAATGTACAGTATGTGGAAAACAATGTGTTTTTTTAACCTTAAACCGCATAAACACATTTCATTACACCAAATAATGTTCTTTTTAGCAACATCATATGACCCCTTTAAAATAAATGTACCTCTTTAAAAGACAAGAAAATTACATTTAAAAATGTAATTTAAACTAAAACTTTTAATCTGACACTATTGCTTTTTTTTTAAGCAAAACATTATTATTTTTGGAATAAGCAACCTTAGTATTGATAATGATGGCCTCTTTTATATATTTAATTGTCTCTTATGTGTTGTATTCTCTGATTGGCAGGGAAGTTGGAGTGATGTGGTAGGGAGACGCTATTCACTACTAACATGCCTTTTGCTCAGTGGCTTTGGATATGGCCTGCTGGGTCTGTCCACGAGTATTGCGCTCTTTGTGCTGGCCAGGATACCAGTGGGTAAGTAGTGGTGTACTTTGGTTCATATTGCAAATAAGTGCAGCATTACTGAAAATTTTCCCTTCCTCTATTAAAGGGCTCTTTAAACACTCCCTGTCTATATGCCGAGCGCTCCTGTCAGATCTTGTGTCGGAGAAAGAGCGGCCTCTAGTGATGGGCCACTTTAATGCAGCCTCAAGCGTGGGATTCATACTGGGACCAGTGGTGGGTGGATATCTCACTGAACATGAGGGTGGTTTTTACTTATCCTCATTCGTCTGTGCAGCCATTTTCCTTCTAAATGCAGGTGAGCAAGATTGACAATAGTCACGTGCATAAAGAAAGTAACTTATTCCTTACAAGTACAAACAAGTATAGATAGATTGCAGTTATCTTGTAATGCATTAAAGGGATAGTTAATTGTTTACTTACCCTTAAGTCATTCCAAAATCACATGCCTTTCTTTCCCTGGACACAAAAGAAAAGATGTTGAAGACTGTTTGCCATGCAGTTGTAATGAATGTGTGCAAAAGTTTTCAAACTTCAAAAAGGACACTGTTTTTACTTATCCTCATTCGTCTGTGCAGCCATTTTCCTTCTAAATGCAGGTGAGCAAGATTGACAATAGTCACGTGCATAAAGAAAGTAACTTATTCCTTACAAGTACAAACAAGTATAGATAGATTGCAGTTATCTTGTAATGCATTAAAGGGATAGTTCATTGTTTACTTACCCTTAAGTCATTCCAAAATCACATGCCTTTCTTTCCCTGGACACAAAAGAAAAGATGTTGAAGACTGTTTGCCATGCAGTTGTAATGAATGTGTGCAAAAGTTTTCAAACTTCAAAAAGGACACTGTTTCATATGTACAGCATTTTAACCATTTAACTATATACACTCCAAGTTTAAAGCCAAATCATGAAAGAAGCCATGTCTGAAGTCCAAATAATTTTTCATGAATCAGACCGTTTTAATGAATTAGTTGATCTGGTTAGAAGATTTGGAAAGTGTTTGGCTGCTTTTGTATACTTTTTTTAACTTGAAAACTTCAGTCACTCTTCATTGTACAGTAATTGCATGGAAAAGAGCAGCATCAGCATTTTGCTAAACTTCGCATTTTTGTTCCACTGAAGAAAGAAAGACAGACACTTGAGTTTGGATTTACATGAGGATGAGTAAATGGTGACAGAATTTTTATTTCTGGGTGAACTATTCCTTGTGAAAAATATCATTTTAACATACTTAAAAAGTATTTTTTACAGAAATAATATAGTTTAAAACGGTATACTTGAGACTGGATGTAATGTTTTCAGACACGTAATTGCAAGTTAATTTAAATTAAATTATATTATAGTTTGAAATTTTTGACCTATATATTGCAACTTGTAGGTCATGTATTTAATTATATTTGTAATGACACATTTATAATGATGAAGTTACATATTTAGTACATTTAATATATTAACTTTAAATGTAATGTCAAATAACACAATACAGTGTAGTCAGCACATCAAAATAAGTACTTCTTTAAAGCATGACAAAAGATGAGTAAAACAGTGATTTAATATGTGAAATAATGGAGTCATATAAGACATTTATAAGATTTCAGTCATGAAAGTGCACTTAAGTGGCCTTTTAGTTTCCTTAATATTATATATTCTGCGAGTACAGTTTTTTTTTAAATACACATTTAAGTACACTGCAAGTGCACATTCAGTACAGTTAAGTGCACTCCTTTTACACAAGTGATCCCTTGTCTGCTACTGTACAAAGCAACCATAGTCTACTTATCCAAATGTTGTCTTCTCAGGTTTGGTCTGGATGTTACCTTGGAGTGAGACGCTAAATCACCGTATTGATGCAAACGCTAACAGTAAAACCAAACCCAGCAAATCCTACGATGAGTTAAAGAACTCAGTCCAGCAAAACTGCTCAGACAAAAACCACGTTCGCCATACTAATGCATCAGCGGTCCGCAGTCAAACAAATGGAGGCTGGGGCTGGAGAGACATGTCTGTCGTCCAGCCTGCCTGGAGACAGCTGACCTCAGTGTGGATACGGATCCGCATGGTGGCTTCCTCCGATATGTGGGACGTGTTCCTGGTGCGTCTTCTAATGGCTGTATCCATAATGCTGTACTACAGTAACTTCTCCTTAGCCATGGAGGAGCGTTTTCAGCTCAAACCAAAGGTGACGGGCTATTTGATCAGCTACAGCAGTATGTTGGGGGCCCTTGCTGGCTGTTTGGTGGGACCCGTCACACACCTTTATGGCAACAACATGTCTGCTTTATTGTTACACTCTACTGCACTCACCTGCACGTTGATCTTCCTGTATGCCACGGCACCCAACGTCTGGCAGGTCCTGCTCACTTCCACGTTCTTTGCCATCTCTACCACTATCGGACGCACTTGCATCACTGACTTGGAGCTGCAGCGTGGGGGAGCCCAAGCTAGCGGGACGTTAATCGGAGCGGGACAGTCGGTCACAGCTGTGGGACGGGTCGTAGCACCACTGCTGTCTGGTCTGGCTCAAGAAGTCAGCCCCTGTGGACCTCCTAGTTTGGGGGTTGTGCTGGGACTGGTAGCTGTGGGTTTGCTATTCGTGAGGACTCCTAAGTGGGACAGCAAGACAAAGGTTAAAGACAAGAGTCCCAAACAATGAGGTGAAAACCACTCAAAGTGACAGAAAGACGAAAGATTGTGACGGCAGCTGTCTTTTTTCCTCTCAGGTGATGTGATGAATTTTTTGGAGAATGTGGGAGTTTGGATCCTTTTTACCAGCTAATAAATGTCTCAACGTCAATGTGAGATGTCCATTGGTAAGCCTACTTCCTGTGCCATCATGCTGAAAGAGAGCAAGTGCCTGTGCATATGCAGATTTGACCGAGTCTGAAGTTTATATCAGAACATTTAGCTGTTTAGTGGTTCAACACCAGTGGCAAAACTAGCACCAGAAGTGGGACATTCATTGTTGAAAGATTTTATTTGTTATATAAAAGTGTTTTATGTGTTGTGTTTTTATGTGTTTCCTGGCCAAATTTCTGACTATAAGTCATATAGACCAGAAAGGTAAGGCTGATATGCTTCCAAGAAAACTGTTTTAACATTTTGGGCAGGAGAAATGTAACTTTGTGATTGAGTTTTACCTCACTGTGGCATTGATACTCATTTAACCACTATTTAGTATAGGTGCACTTCATAATACTCACTTCCTTCGGTGTTTTTAAATTAAAAGTCATACAGTTGTTGCCCCAAAGGCTAGCAATAATGTTTTTAATAAAACTGTACAAAAAACTTGAGTATAGGACACATACACTACTGTTCAAAATTAGCTGTGGGGTCAGCAAGATTTTTTTATTTATTATTTTGAAATCATATATTTCTATTTAGCAAGGATGCATTAAATTGATCAGAAGTGACCGTAAAGACATTTAAAAAGTTACAAAAGATTTGTTTTAAATAAATGCTATTTTTTCCACAAAAATATTAAGCAGCACAACAACATTGATAATAATAAATGTTTATTGAACAGCCCATTTTAATTATTCCTGGAGGATCATGTGATACTGAAGACTGGAGTAATTATGCTGAGCATTCAGCTTTGCATTACAGGAATAAATCACATTTTAAAATATATTCAAATAAAAAACAATTATTTTAAAGGGGTCATCCGATGCTACATGCACTTTTACAAGTTGTTTGAACTGAAATGTGTGTTGGCAATGTGTGTATAATGATAATTATATAATATAATGATAAAAACCCACCCACTGTTTTTTTTTTATCTACTAAAATCATTTCCCCTTTCTCAAATCGAGCCGATCTCACGTCACACAGACTCCCACGATTATTTGATTGACAGAAGCGTTTCAGCAGACTGGACTAGTGTCTGACCTTAGACCAGGGTTCCTCAAATCTTGCCCTGGAGGGCCAATGCGCTGCAGAGTTTTGCTCCAACCCTGATCAAACTCTACCTGTGATTTTCTAATGATCCCGAAGACATTGGGATCCTAACCTCTGCAGGAAAGTGGATCTCGTGGGTCAGATTTGAGGATCCCTGCCTTAGACCCGCCCTGAGTGAGCTGTCATCATCAGTCCGCCATTGTTTCACCAGCGGAGCAGATGTAGACAAGAATGACTCCTAAGCACTAGAGGTGTTTAGTTGTTGGATGTAATAGTGAACATAGCAGTCGTCATTTACTCCCGACATCTGAGCCGCTGAACTCGCAGTGGATTACTTTTGTTTCTGAAGGGAATGTGTTTTTGACAGGGTAAAAAAGGTTTTTTAGGCAGATGTGAGGTCAGATGTCCTGAATGGCTGACACTTGACCCCAGATGTGACCTCCTGTAGCCTCTCTGCTCCTCATTCTGTTCGTCCACCGTGTTGACAGAGGAAGCCACTTCCTTCAGAGTGTTTAACGGCCTGAGAGGCATCACTGCTTTAGATGACACTCTCTGTGGATGCCTGATTGACGGGTAGTCGATCTCCGATTCAGTATCACCATCTCCTACAAAGACAACAGCATAGAGTACTATCTATATTACTGTCAGTACAGCTGCTTAAAATGAATAGTTATGAAAACCATTTGACTCACATCAGTGTATTATTTAAAACTACCACTAGATGGCATGACAAATGCAGTAGCCATATACATAACCACATCTAAAAAAAACTGCTTCAAATAAAAGCAGTTATTGAACTTTCTAATAAGCAAAGAATCCTGAAAAAAAAATCACTTAATATTTCACAAAAAATATTAAGCAGCAGTACATTCTCTCACCAGTGTGACCGAGTCTCCCTGGAGGATATCCAGAGTTCAGACTCCGGCCCATGGGCAGAGAGAAATACTTCTGGGACATTTTTGCAGCATTCTGGTAGAAAAAGAGCAAGGAAAGGGTCAACGACTCTCATTTCCATATTTAGAAGTGCATATATTCTATAGATCATTATGTATGACTTTGTGTTCTGATTTTAGACAGCATTCTTTAGGTTTTTTGTCTTATATCATATAATTCTGTACCCAGTATAAATAAGTGCTCTCATTTATATAGTGTTACATACAGTGCCATGGAAGCTTCCAGCTCTGAGGCTGCGTCGTAAGCTTGTGTGGCGTCTCATCAGGATCTCCCTGGCTGTGATATCATTGGGTAATGTATGCTTATTAGTGTAAGACACTGTCTGTGAAGCATAATAGATAAAAAATATAGATAACCAATTGTGAAATATCACAAGGGACATTAGAAGCAACAAAATAAACATGAATAATTTCAACGCACCACTACTTCACATACTAAATAATAAAAAATCATTTGAGAAGACATTCAACTTTCCCATAAAACACATGGTAGTCTTTGTTCAGTGCAACATTACTGGTTTCTGGGCCCCACACTGGAGAAAAAAATTATACTTTGGACCATTTGTGACCCTGGACCACAAAACCAGTCATAAAGGTAAATTTTTCGAAATTGATATTTATACATGCTGAATAAATAAGCTTTCCATTGATGTATGGTTTGTTAGGATAGGACAATATTTGGCTGAGATACAACTATTTGAAAATCTGGAATCTGAGGGTGCAAAAAAATCAAAATATTGAGAAAATCGCCTTTAAAGTTGTCCAAATGAAGTTCTTAGCAATGCATATTACTAATCAAATATTAAGTTTTAATATATTTACAGTAGGAAATTTACAAAATATTTTCAGGGAACATGATCTTTACTTAATGTCCTAATTATTTTTGGCATAAAAGAAAAATCGATAATTTTCACCCATACAATGTATTTTTGGGTATTGTTACAAATATACCCTACAAATAGTGACTTAAGACTGGTTTTGTGGTCCAGGGTCACATTTTAATAAAACCCACAATAATAATGCAGTCAGTAAAGCTAGTCAGTATGTGTCATCGATATGAAAATACTATTTAATCATGGACAATTTTTTTTTTTTTTTATTGAGATTTGTTTTTGACAAACGGAACAAAATCAAAACTATCTAGATTAGTCTGATATCAAAACACACAGTTATTTTTTCAGTGTAGGTCATCCAAATCTGTAAACCTGGCACAAAACTGTTTGTTATTTCTGATGTAGGTCAGTGTCCTCAAAATAATTCATTTCTTAACTAATTCCTTTGTATTGAGCATTTGACTGTCTTTCTTTTTTCCTTTTTTTTACGGTGGTGTTTTTGTTGTTGTTTGTTTGTTTAGTTTCTTCCAGCAATTCCTATATTGTAAGTTCAGGACATTCTGTCATAACTCACCCTCTGTCTGATCTTGTACATGTTCTTTGATAAGAGTTCATGCATATTTGTCACATCAGATGACAAGAACTTCTTCCTGGACTTGGAGGCATTCTTTCTTTCTTCGCTATAGTAAAAGACAAACAGAAATCAACAGGAAGCAAATCATTGTGATGCTACTCCGACCACAGACCTTTACTGAAATGTTCAGCTAAAAAAGTTTCAGACAGTTTCGATTTCTGAAAAGAGGAGGACAGGACAAGAAGTGACAGTGCAAAAAGGAGACGTACTGCAATGAAATTAAAGAGGGGGCTGCACTGATGTCACCGGACATTTGGTCCAGTATCTCCATGGCGTTCTGAAGCTCCAGTTTCTTATACAGAGCCACAATGCTTGACTCGGGATGATTATCACGGATTAAAATCTTGCGAATTATCCGGTTATTAAACTTCATGAACCTGGCAACCAATGGAATGAATGAATCTCAAAATCAATATCACAGTATAACAGAGTGTACGTTGGATTTTGTATGTTGATATTTAACTCCCACATTTACACTGAGTCAAATTAAATGTCCTTTATCCATTCATATATTTTTCCAAAATGAAACAAAACAAAAGAAACCTAGGGTAACAGCTGTGGTAGTATCTAACAGGAAACAGTCTTTATGACAGATACATTTACAGAAGCCTAAGGCTGATTGAGAAACGCATGTCCGCACGACAAAGCTGTAAGACCAGTCTAACCGGTGGTATGTTTTTGGGACACTAATGAAATGATAATAGAGAAAAATGGAAACATGACACTAAAATACTTCTATGCTGTTGTCAGCAGATAACTGTAATTTTCCAATGAAAAAAGCTGTGTAGTGAAAAAAAAGAACTCCTACTTGTCTTTCCAGTAGTAGTGACTCCACTGTCCACACAGATCTTCTATGCCAGCAACAGTGTGCTCCATCAACTGAAACAGAGTAACTGAATCAAAATTAAACTGATCTCGATTACTGATTAAGCATGTTTAAATTAAATAAATGAAACCACTGAAGACATACCCTTTTGTGAATCTCATCATTGATGGTCTCCATGTTTCGATTTGTCTTACGAACATTCATTAATTTTAGAAGGGGTCTTATAGTAATTCCCTGCAAAGAGAGATATTATTTAGATACTGGACACTACTACTTAAAAAAAAAAAGCATTAATACTTTTATTCAGGAGGAAGCATTAAATTAATCAAAAGTGACAGAAGACATTTATAATGTTACAAATGATTTCTATTTCAAATGAATGCTGTTTTTGAGCATGCTGTCTCTTCACCTAAGAATCCTCCACAACAAATATTAATAAATGTTTTCATCAAGGAAATAAATTACACTTTAAAATATATAAAAATACTAAAATATAACACTTATTAAAAAAATAATATCGCAATATCACTGTTTTTACTGTATTCATCAAATGAATGCAGCCTTGGTGAACATTTTTAATCTGCTGCAAAAAAAATTTTTTATTCCAAACTTTTGACCAGTAGTGTATAAATACACATTTTAATTAATAATTTATTAATTAATTGGTGTAATATATGAAGAGCAAAGCTTCATTTGAGCTCAATGGAGTAGAACAGAGATTAGAAATGGAAAGCACAAACTAGTGGTGAGTTAGTCAGCTACTAATGAGTTGTTGCATCAACAGTCTAGCTCTAGTTATGGGAAATTGCATCTTGTAAAGATGATTCATAAAAAGGAATTCTTGGCTAGTTTGCACACAAGCACTCCTAAAGCAAGATTCATTCGCTCTTGTGAGAAGGTACAGTACCTGAATGAACACTGTGAAGATGATGACGACAATCGTGCCTGTGATGAACAGTTTCTTGCAACCAATGCTGTCTGGGAGAGTGAAGGCCAAGGCAAAAGACACAGCTCCTCTCAACCCACCATAGGCCAAGCCAAACTGATCTTTCAAGTTGAAAGGAATTGTGCGGAATGGGTTAATGATCTGCGTTAGGACCAGGATCCCTGAAGGAAAAATAAAATACGTTAAATTTTTGCCAATAACACAAATAACTATGTCCTTTAACAATGGCTAAAGAAATTAAATTGTATTAACTTTATATCCTATCATAGTTCTATTCTATTATAGTTTATATTAGCGATGTGGATTTTACAGGTTTCATCTTTAGGCCAGTAGGTGGCAACAAGTCGGCTAACTGTCTTTCCTTCTCAAAGGAGTTGAATCCTTCTCAACATTTGTGCATTCACAATGCTGATTCATACTTGTAACAAAACATTAATAGCTGCATCCAAAATACTGCATGCTTCACTTCTATATAGTAGGTGAAAAACAGTATGTGACAAAAGAAGTATGTCCGAATTCACAGTACTCATAAAAGAGAAGGCCAAAAATTCCCGGATGACCTACAACTTCCGAGATCCATAATAATTCCATTTATACTACACACATTCATATTATATTGACAATATTTTTGAAGTAATTACTTATTCAAAGTAAGTACTCAAGAGAGTATGTGATTCAGATGCAGCCTGTGTATTTATAATTTCGAATCATTCACTATACCCCTCAAAACTGATTCGTTCCATAAGGAACCACAACTGTGTGTTGCCTGAAGATGCGACGATTGATTGTGCTTTGATTGGAACTATTCCTGTTGGTGGAGCAAAAATGGGCAAACTAACTGGCAATATTGTGTCCATCTATGTTACTATTAATTATACCATTCTTGTGTGCTAAATTGTTGTGTAACTGCATTATTGCACTTGAAATCATGCAATATTGTTTAATTGTAAACAATGACAATAAGAAAACATCCTGCTACTATTAAAAACTTCCTTTTAGTAATTTGGGAATTCTTTCTAATCTCCCCTACCCAGGCCTCTCCAAAGAAAAGCAAACAGCAGAGTAAAGAGGATGTAGCCCCAGTTCCACTCGTGCTCTGTCGTTATGGTAACAACACCCAGAAAGAAGAATATCAGAGTCTCCGACACACTTCCAACCATCTTAATGACATGCCGAATAGTGGTGCAGGAGCGCTGGGATACATTCTCCTCAACGTAATACTTCATAGTCAAGGCGCAGATTACAATACTGTAGAAACAGGAACACAACATGCAGGAAAAGCCAAAAGAGTGCTAATTCATTTTTTTATTTTTTTCAAAAATGCAGTTAGGAGCCCTTACGTACGCCATTATGCTGGAAATGGCAAGGAGCTCAGCTATGAGGTAGGCCAGGTAGCTGTACAGGAAGATGATTAGAGGCTCGATCTCTCTCACTTTTCCTGTAAAGCGTGTGGTGAAGGCTGCCACAAAGCCAAACAGTACGCCGAAAATCGTACCGCCCAAACCAACTACAAAAAATCGACCTATGTCCAGAAAAACGTCTCCGGCTTCAACCACCTCCATTGCTGCTACATGATTGAATAGATTATAGAGCACCTAGAACAGACAGTGAGAACTACTTATACATAAATAATACACAATGCTCTGTCGTTATGGTAACAACACCCAGAAAGAAGAATATCAGAGTCTCCGACACACTTCCAACCATCTTAATGACATGCCGAATAGTGGTGCAGGAGCGCTGGGATACATTCTCCTCAACGTAATACTTCATAGTCAAGGCGCAGATTACAATACTGTAGAAACAGGAACACAACATGCAGGAAAAGCCAAAACAGTGCTAATTCATTTTTTTAAATTTTTTTCAAAAATGCAGTTAGGAGTCCTTACGTACGCCATGATGCTGGAAATGGCAAGGAGCTCAGCTATGAGGTAGGCCAGGTAGCTGTACAGGAAGATGATTAGAGGCTCGATCTCTCTCACTTTTCCTGTAAAGCGTGTGGTGAAGGCTGCCACAAAGCCAAACAGTACGCCAAAAATCGTACCGCCCAAACCAACTACAAAAAATCGACCTATGTCCAGAAAAACGTCTCCGGCTTCAACCACCTCCATTGCTGCTACATGATTGAACAGATTATAGAGCACCTGGAACAGACAGTGAGAACTACTTATACATAAATAATACACAATCTGATTCACAAAACACAAAATTATGACACAAATATGCTAAATTACTAATATTACAAGTACAAATGTGATGATTAACACATGCAGAACATCACAAAGAGTAAAACATTCACAAAGACTACTTGCCATGTACAACAAAATGATCAAACCATTTGAATTAAACAAAGAAAGCCATAATTACAGTACTCAGCATAAATGAGTAGCCCCCCTTTAAAACTTCACAAAGTCAGCAATTACTCTTTTCTTAGGAGACATATTAGGGCTCTTTGGAGATATAATATTTTAGCAAGTCTGCTTGATTAATTAACAAAAAAGCATGTCAGAATTATTCATGAAAATAAGATTTGAGGACATACTTATTTAATTTAATCAAGCGTGTACTTAGGGTTGGGTATTGTTTGAATTTTATCAATTCCAATTCCAATTCTGCTTATCGATTCCAATAAAAAAATGAAAATCAAACATTTACATCTTTTTTTGCAAAACATTTCATTGCTGCTGAATACCATGAACAAAAATCAGCCGGCTACATAAAAACTGGACTGGATTAAGAACTGATTCTAGATCAATTGAGACTTCTTGTGTAGTTCTCTCACAATTCTGAAGAAAAAATATTAGACAACTAAACAAAATCTCATGGAATTTATGAATGAATAATTCAATGACTCACTCAAGATTTACTTGTTTTGTTACTGGATGAATCAGTGTTTTAAAATGAATCTCTTGAATGAATGATTCAAAGACAAATACATTTTTAACAGCCCCTTTTCGCCACCTATAAATAAAAGATGCGCACACAGGAATTGATAGGTGGAATTTAAATTTAAATTTTACAATAAGTATCCGATTCTGGAATTGGAATTGATTTTTGATTCCCAACCTTACATGTACTCATTTTTGCAAGCATTTATTTGAACAAAATTGGCTAATTTACTTTTACGGATATTTATTACATATTTTCTCTGTTTTTATTAAAGTACTGAATTGAATCTCTGTTTTATTTAGTATTGAATTTGACCATCTTTCCATCTTCATGAATTGTATTAGTGATCATTAAGAGAAAAAAATGTAGTATTTGTTTAGAGGTGGTGTACTTATTTATGCTGAGTACTGTGTGTGTTTTTGCAGCTAACAAATATTTCAATCACTGAGTGGGGAAAGAACAATAATGTTAATATACGTGTATTGTAGCAAGTACTTGTATATTAACTGTATCAACTTGTACTGTATTTTACTGTAGAAAGAAGCAAAGTTACAAAGACTTCTTTGTCTTACTGTTCTATTACTATTCCTTTTCTCTTTACTCCAGTTCAAATGTAATAAAATAAGAAATGTAATTGTGCTTAAGTATTTATGTTTGACACAATAAAGAAAGCAACAATGTTTATACACATTGTGTTTACCATGGTGTTTCAGCCTGTATCAAATGACTGAGTAATTACACTGGCTTGTGTTGAGTTTTGGATTTCAAGTAATCTGTTACTAGGGCAAGATTTGAAAGGAGATTCTATACAAGCGTATTTCTTTTGAAACTAATTGTGATACTTTTTGATTAACGACATAACTATGTCAGCTCGCTTTTATTCAGGCATAATCTTTAAAACAGTTCTTGATAAAAGAATATTTGTAAGTAATGCACCAAGTAAAAGCAAGTTTCAAGCACATGTTTTCCCATGGAGAGTATGACAATGTATGGCTCACAAGTCTCATTCTTTGTCCTCATTGCCAAATGTACTGTATCTATTTTTAAATTGTATCTATTTTTAATTTACTAGTAGCCTGCTTTTTATGTACCTTGTGCACACATCACTTACCACAGTGACAGCATCATTGAACAGGCACTCTCCAAATACCACAATATAGAGCTGCTCATGGACGCTGATGTCCTCAAACACAGTGAGGACAGCCACTGGTTCTACGGCTGAGATGATGGAGGCGAAGAGGAGGTTCTCCTGCAGGGTAATGTCCTGCACACCAAACACCTCGATCTGGCAGATGGCAAATAGAGAGATGCCAATGCCAATAGAATTCCACAAGGTGCCAACAACAGCAAACCACAGCACTGTGCCGATATTCTCAAAGAAAGGCCGAGTGGGCATGAAGTAGCCCGAGTCTAGAACAATGGGTGGCAACATATAGAGGAAAAAGGCGTTGGAGGTGAGCACAGACGGCGGCTTCTCGTGCAACGAGTGCATGATGCCCCCGACTATGAGACCAATGGAGATCAGCAAACATGACTCTGGCACCCAGACTGTGATCTTATGGTAAACATGGAAACCTATTCAGAAAAAAACAATACTTGTTACTTAATATTTGTGTGTGTGTGTGTGTGTGCAAGTGGTTAAAAAGGGAAAAATGTTTTATTAGTACCCTATGTCACAGTTATGTTCTCTTTTGGATCTGTTTCTGTCTCCACATTTCCCTGAGTCCCTTTCTCTATTAGTCTCCATGGTTTTTGATTCAGCTCCACACCTGTTTCAGTTCTCCCTAATTACCTTTTCTAGAATTTAAGCCCTTTGTTTTGCCCAAGCTCCTTAGTTCCGGTATTGATGTTGATATTGTGTTTGTCTCCTGTGTTTCTCCTGCCTGTGGATTTATTATTAAAATGACTTTGTTTATTTCTACTCCTGTGTTGTGTGCTTTCCATAGCTACAATTTACAGAATACCAGAATTCCAAGTTATTATTGCTGTGTTGTTTTTTCTTTTGTTTTTGTTTTTCTCCTCTCCCGGATGGATTTACCAGTCGTCCAACTCCTTTGCCTGGAGCAGAAGGACCGATTGCTGGAGGACCACACCAGGGCATTTTTAGATCTGGTGTGCCTTACTCACTTCCTTGACCACTCGCTTTGCGTCTTTTACTACACAAGCCTAAGCGGTGTAAGGCACGCCTGCCAGCGACCGGTCCAAAAGAGGGTCTCCACTCCTCTGGCTTCGCCTCGTCATTCCGTCCCTCTGGCTCTGTCAGGCTCCTCCTTCCCTTTGGCTCCACCTTTGTCCTCAGTTGCTCCGGTTCTGCTGCGGTCTTCCGGATCCCTGCATCGGTCGCCTGAGCCTTTGGCTCCACCTTGGCCCTCCGGATCCTCTGTGTTGCCCTGGCTCTCCGTCTGCTCTGCTTCATCCTGGACTCCTCTTTCATCTGCTCCCTCTCCATCAGTCGTCCCCAGGGCATCGTCAAGGCCTTTTCCACCATGGCTCCTCCTGCTCCTGGCTCCTCCATCTACTCTGCCCTGGCCCTATGAACTATGCCCCTTTCCAATTGCTTGCCCCACGCCCGCCTCCCGAACCTCCACCCTCCCTCCCTCCTCTGTTGGACTGTTTATAAGCGTGAGTACACACCTTCCGGGAGGGGGGGTGAACTTTCACAGTTATGTTCTGTTTCTGGGTGTGTCTCAATCAGCTCCCACGCTCGTGGACCAGTAGATCGTGTACATGAATTCGGGCACTGGTAAGTTCCCTGACTCGCTGCACGTTGGGACAGTGATCCCTCAAATTCCAGTGACATGATTACGTACAACATCAACGGACAACATGGTAGAACGTCATCACTGGAATGAATAAACAACAGACCGAACCGATCTCTTTTTGAGATTTATTTTTTATTATCTTTAAACACGTGGTTCTGGTACAAGTTCTTACAACATTTCAGCCGAATATTAATTATAAATGTTAATTAGATGTTCAATTCCTGTCTAGCTATGTGTGTTTATGTTGAAATACACTAAAAAGCTGTTTGTCTTTTCAAATCTTCTATCACGAGTCATTATTTATCGAGTTGGCTCGTGTGGTTTGTTTTGCGCTTCAGAAATGTGACATTATTTCCGGTAAGGGAGCATAGTGAGCGCCTATGCTCCCTAGTTTTTGCAGTGCATTGTGGGATTTTTTTCAGGGAGCAAATGTTCCAGTGCACTGGAAGGATTTCGCTATTGAGACAGCCCTTAAAATGGCCGACTCCCTGATCAGTGCCCTTACTACTGAACAAGAGAGCTGATTGAGACTCCCTTGTCTATTAGTTTCCATGGTCTTTGATTTATTAGCGCCACACCTGTTTCAGTTCTCCCTAATTACCTCTTCTAGTATTTAAGCCCTGTGTTTTGCCCCATCTCCTTAGTTCCGGTATTGATGTTGATATTGTGTTTGTCTCCTGTGTTTCTCCTGCCTGTGGATTTATTATTAAAAGGACTTTGTTTATTTCTACTCCTGCGTTGTGTGCTTTCCATAGCTACACGTGACACCCTATTCATTCATCCTTAAATCTAATTTACTGAATCTGTTTCTTACTTTTTTATATTCTAGTAACTTTTTGTTATACCTTTTTACCATTTTTTTAAATCTCATTAAGATTCTAAATTAACTTTAGAGTAAAGTTGCCTTTCTGACTAGCCATGTCATATAGCTAAGTAAAAAAAGTCTATTGAAAATTAATATAAGAAATGTTGCATAGTGCATAGTGTTTCCTAAACAAATAGGCTAGTATCTGATAAATACGTAGGCTGCTAGTAAAACTGGAATAGAGTCAGTACTGTACTTAGTAATTAAAATAAATAAGTATACTAGTAACATCAAAGTCACTAGTAGGTGGTCTAAAGAATATATGTTAAAACAGCTTGCCATAGAATGTGTAATCGCTCACCTATTTTGGCAAAGGACGCAAGTAGCACCCATAAAGTAATCTCAAACGGGAGCTGAATGCGGGGGTAGTTCAGTGTAAACACCGCTTGGGTGGTTTCACCTGGGTCGGGGTCAGGATCAGGATCAGTCTCCTCCATCGGGCTCCAAGGAAGAAGTTTAGATGGAGAAGTAGTAGTAGGTTCAAAAGGAACATCGACGTTTGCTCCGTATCCAAGAGATGCAATGCAAATTACGCACATCAAAAAGTCGAAAGGCGACCTCTCTTTAAAATTAAGCACCATATTTTCTCAAAATATATGCATATGCCAGAAGCTGAGATATAAAAAATACTGAAAATATGTGAAGAATTAAAAGTACATTTTAAAAGTGTTCCCTTCATCTACGTCCCTAAAGCATACTGATCGTCGCACACTCGTGACTGAGTTTGGGCTCTCTGTCTCAGTGAGCAGGTGTGTGTGGTCAGATGAGGGCCGGTTGACGACCAATGCCACACCTGATTTGTCTGTCCTTGCCTTTGAAATAGTTTCGCTTCCTCTAGTTCTCAGAAAATATATATTTTATTTTTTTGTAAAATGGAGATAACCTGTTCCTCTCTGCCATAACAAACACTTCTGAAGTAAAACTCCTACGGTGTAGTTTCACGAGCATACATATGTGTGTGTGTGTGTGTGTGTGTGTAACTTGCCAGAGTTCTGTGAACAGTGGTACTGTTGAAATGAATGAATGCAATTCTGTTGCTTCAGTATTTGAATATGATACATAGTTAGGAAAGGCTTGCATTTATGCCACCTTTTACATATCTATGAAACTATTTTAAACATTCTGGGTGGGTTGCACCAACAAGGATTAATTTAAGTAAAGTTTAGAGCTAATCAAGGATTTGTTGATCTGGGTTTTATTGTAAATCGAGTTGTGTTGCACCACTTAATTTTAAACACAGATGAACAAATCAGGGATTAGAACTGTAACCTGCGATTAACACCTGCATCTACGATTAATGTTCTCCTCCATGATGGGTTTGCCATTGCAATTAAACAGGAACAATGCTAATATTCCTAATTTTTTTTCTTTGCTACCAAACTCTCTTTCTGACATAAGTTGCTCGTGTCAAAAAAGGAAATAAACTAAATAAAAAATATCTGCCGTTTTAATAAACTGCTAGCGTTATTCAAACGGCTGATCAAGCAAGCAATGAATACATTTCTGGCAGTGCATACGGATTTCATAATCCTGGAAATATATTTATAGTATCAATTAATGGAGTATATTTTGCATGGTCATCACCACTGCCGTTAAATGCTATACGGTATATTTCTGTTTTCTTTGTCGTACGCCGAGATGCGCCGAGATGAGTGACGGATTCACATCCCGGACTCGATAGAAGACGCAAGTTTACTACGGGCTAGGGATGGGCGGATCGATCCTTGAGTATCGAAAGGATCGATCCTCACATAAAAATATCGATTCTGAAGTGCATTTTTTGAAACATTAATTTGATTTACTTATCAAGAAATTCGGTGCATAGAATAAGCTTCTAAATGGAAAAATAGACTATATTAGCGAATAATTGTGTTGGATAGAACCATTTCTCCTGCTCATCGGAACACGTGCTGACGCATGGCTCAGAGTGCTTGTTCAAATAGGGCTGCTTTTCCCAAAAGCATCAGAAGCATAAGTAGATCTATAGAAACCATTGCCACATTACATTACATTACATTGTTACTATATATAAAATTAGTTCTGAAAAATGCATCACGGTTTCCACACAAATATGAAGCAGCAATAATAATAAATGTTTCTTGAGCAGCAAATATTAGAATTATTTCTGAAGGATCATGTGACACTGAAGACTGGTGTAATGATGCTGAAAATTCAGCTTTGATTACAGATACATTTGAAAATATATTAAAATAGTTATTTTTAATTGTTGTATTTCTCAATATTGCTGCTTTTACTGTTTTTTTTTCTCTCAAATAAGTGTATCCGTGGTGAGCATGAGACTTAAAAAATTTAGAAGTATCGGTATCGATATCGACGATACTGGGCTTGAAAATATCGGTATCGGATCGAAAATAAAATAAGAGGTATCGCCCAACCCTACTACGGGCTGCCAAGACCCTCACAATCTGCTGGCTCAATGCGCTTTAATCTTTCTTTTTATTTGTAATAAACACCTGAGACCTCACAACACACCCTCTATTGTTTTCTTTGTTTAATCAGCCACATAATTGTAACTGTTGGTGCACTTTATTTCATTTAAACCTCCTCACCTGTAAATGTAAAATTAATCCCTAATTGAGATGCAAATTGAGTTTAAAGTTATGGAGCAACATGATTAAAGTTAATCTATTTTAAATATAAATTAAATCCAGGATCAAGATGATGGTTTAAATGTAATCCTGCTTATTTTTAAACCAAGTTTAAAGTTTAGTGCAACAGAGTTATTAGATAAAACTTGATTTAATCTAGATTTTAGATTAAACTTTATTGGTGTAAGCTAAACAATTTGCAATAATTGTATTACATTTATATCTGATTTGTTATATCACTTGGCCTTTGATCCCTCGTATGCGTCCAGAATCACATACTCTGAAGACATACTTCTTGTGAATAAGTAGGCTATTTACTTCACAACCATTATGTTTTATATAGTATGAATGTAATCCGGATGTACTACATCTGTCCTGTTGACCTACCACCGTTGTGTTGCTTTACTCATTCATGCAATTTATGATGCAGCCAAGGTTTACATTGAGAGCCAGGCCACGTTTATTTGTCACATATCTGGGCATCAACCCAAGTCTGACGTAGTGCGTCGTAATCAGCATAATAAAAAGATGCGAGCGTTGTCCCCATTCAGTATGTTTTCAATGTAAATACAAGGGCGTAATTGTTTCAGTATTTTCTCTAGAAGTTGTTCTTTATCTTTATAGGAGTGCCTTTCCTAATGTAACCAGCTCTTGTTGTTATATGTATGAAATTTTCACTGTTCTTTAATATTCTAATCAGTACCTGCCACTATCGAGTGGTGAAAGATTTACCAATTATACAACAGTTCACCAAAGCCTTCCAGTAATATATCTTGGTTACTAATGCAAAGATTAATTTATTAGGCCTAGTTAGAACTAACGAGTGGGTCTGAAAACTAATAATAAAGAAAACAAGAAGTGAAGTAAAAGGGAATAATGTTATTTTTCAATGTCTTGTAAAAAATGAAAATTATAATGAAAAGCCTGGAGCTTTGTTTCCCTCAGAGCATTTGTCATGATATAGCTTAAACCAATCAGACATTTAGGCTAATAGTTTATTCCACTGTCTATTCAACAACCTCTCACCGGCCTTTACAAAGACAACTGATGCTGCGTAGGTTTAAAACAAATAATTATTTTTTTCATTGTATGAACAGTGTCACAATGGTCCATGGACCTAAAGTTCATGGATTTTTTATTGCGAGACAGATGCTGCCAATGACGAGTGCTTTACAACAGTTCTGCCAATTCATGCATGAAACACAAATACAGCACATATGTTACTCTCATCCCTGTTACTGTATGTCTTCTGTGCAAGTCAATCTCTGTCTGCCCTTCTTGACTTGTTATGACATCTTCACACGATTCAGCTGTCTGTCACGGACAGCAACGACATATTTTTAAGAGAGATTGCCTGCTCGTTCATAGGAGAAGCAGAGTTTCGCTCAGCCAGAAGAAATGATATAAGGTCTAGAGATGAAAGGAGAGCATGGATAATCCTGTTCTCACCCATGCAGGCAGTGACTCATCATTAAAAGGAAATGGCTGTTCGTTATGATTATTATTGCTTTAATTACAGTTGATATGAATCCAATCAAAACAGAGATTAAATAGCAAAAACTCTTTTTATTTTATTTGGGTTTTTAAAAAAAAAATGTATGCAGAATTAAGGTTCTGCTTATATTTTTAGACTCCTCTTCAGTGAATTTATTGGAGACGTAAAACCAAAAATGAATATGGCTTCAGAAGACTTATGGCTTCTTTCTTATGACAAAGAGCTGTGTAAAGATTCTTCAAAATATTTATTTTCTTGTCTCTTGGAAATAATACAGCATATAGGTTTCGATTGATAAGAAGGTGAGTCGATATTGACATCATTTTCATTTTTGAATGAACTATTTGTATTAAAGATGGCCTTTTTATCATATAAAAACTTTGTTCTTATAGCATTATGTATATGAAAGTTGAGAGATGCACAATTTCAGTAAGAAATGCATCCAATCTTTTTCTCTGCAAAACAAAAATGATAAAAAGGGAAAACTGCAAGTCTACACTACTGTTTGAAAATGTTGTTTTTAAATGAATTTGATTATTCTCGCCCAGGCTTCATTTATTATGACAAAAATACAGTAAAAAATAGTAAATAATTGTTTTTTATTTTAAAATGTAGTTTATTCCTGTGACGGCAAAGCTGAATTTTGCATTTATTTGAAATAGAAATCTTTTGTAACATTATAAATCTCTTTGCTGTAACTTTTTGTTAATTTACTGCATCTTTGGTGAAAAAAAGTATTAATATCTTCCTTTTCAGAAAAAAAAACCATACCTACTGCGAACTTTTGAATGGAAGTGTATTCATGGATTAGTTGATTTATACACAGGCCCACAAGCACATAAAGAGCTGTTCATGCAGAAACACTCTCACGCATGGATTCATTTCCTCTGTATGATTGTCATGCACATAAGATCTCACATAAATAGAAACTTGACTCAGTTCTTGGCTCATTATTGTAATTTCTGCTTTCTTTTACAAATACACAACCTCAAGGTTTAAATGACTGCTGATTTCTGACCAAATATTAGTAGGCCTCAAGATTCATCTGTGTTTAGACATGAAAGCATTAGATAAAATTCCCTTTTTGATCGTACCACCTCCTCCGTAATATTGCCCGCCTCTGTTCCTCTTTTAGTTTTAGAGATGCTCAAAGTGTTGTCCATGCCATAATTACTTTAGATCTCTTCTACTTGATTTCCCTGCCAAATTGTTTCAAAGGATACAATACTTCCAGAACTCTTTTGATATTCTATTTGTTCCATTTCCAGTGTCCTGTCATGTGTTTTGAATACAAACAACATGAGAGATAGATAGGCCCTCTCCCGAATATAGT